GTTGTTTATGTGTATTGTGTGGTTCTGTGAATGTGAACGCAGGTACCCATGGAGGCCAGAGGGCGCATCAGATCCCTGGAGCTGGAGTTTCAGGCAACTGTGAGCTGCCCAATGTGGGTTCTCTGCAAGAGAACTTATGCTTCACTGCTGAGTCATCTCTCAACCCTATCTGGAAGCCATTTTTTCATTCATTCATTCATTTCCATGTGTATGTGTAGGGGCACATGCAAGCCATGGTGCATGTGTAGTCAGAGGACAGGCTGCAGGAGTCATTTCCCGCATTACAACATGTGGGTTCTGGGGATCCAGCTCAGGTGGCAAGGCTCGGCAGCAAGAGCGTGTACATGCTGAACTATCTCAGTGGCCCTCTGGAGGGCACTCTTAACATCTTTCTTACTTACCACAGTCATTTAATCATGGAACCCTGTCAAATCTATATTCTAATCTAAAAACGGAGACCTTTTTCTTACAGCCAGAGCCGCACTCGGGTCACAGTCCCCATCTTATTCCCTGGACTCCTTCTGCCTCCCAAGTGCTGAGATTAAAGGTATACACCACTACACTCAGCTAAGGAAATGTCTTTTTTGGTTTTGGTCTTTTTGAGACGGGGCCTCCCTGTAGACCCATATCGCTTAGAACTCACTATACAGAGCAGGCTGGCCTCGATCTCACAGAGATCCACCTGCCTCTGTCTCCTGAGTGCTGGGACTAAAGGCATGAACCCCCACACCTGGCCTCGTTTTTATTGGCGAGGAGACTGAGGTTTTAGGAGATAACATTCCTGGCTAAGGCTTGGCAGCTTGTGAGTGGCAGAGTGATGCAGGAGTGCTGCTATCAGAGCCCTTGCTTTTCAGGCTCTGAATGTAACGAATTACTTATCTGCTCCTTTACCAGTTGCTACTATTATTACTATTATTACTCCATTAGCACAGGGCTTTGGGTGTGCGTTCAAAGCATTTAAAAGAATAAAAAATAAATCTGTCGTATGTGAATAAGACAAAAGGGGACATAGTTTAGAAAGGTGTGCTATTTTAGACAGAGAATAAAGGCTAAAATACTGAGAGGCAGAAAAACGAACATGGAGCGAAGATGACAAGCGGTCCACTGAAAGTAGCAGGTCAGAGCGCCTCAGAGTTTTGAGGGGAGGGACTAGAGAAAAGAGGAGCAAGGGTAATATTTTAGTAAAAAGAATAGTGAGTACGGTTAATGTGAGACAGATAACACTTTAGCATTGTGATCCTGAATGCTGCATCTGTGGGAGCCAGTAGAGAAGCTGGGAGTGGGCAACAGCAGGAACTGCTGCCGTGGTGCCTGGCTTCACTAGAGCTGTCACAGCTCTGAAAATGACTGAGAGGAGTCCAACTGAACTGACCTGGTAATTCAGGATAGATGGTAAGACTGCAGTTTCCTCTAAGACCAATTTGTATCTCGAATTCTTTGTTGAGACACGCCTCAATTCATGATGAGTCAGTCAACTGCCCTCAATTCTCACATATACTACGCCACACTTCAAGGTACTCAGCCTGCTCACCAGGCTCCCAAGTTCGTTTTGGTCCTACAGCCTTTCCTTTCAGGCTTCCTAGGATTGAAGATGGCACCACTACAACCCTCCACCAATTGATCTCACTTCTATTAGTCAATGTAACAGACTCCCATAAATGTGGTCAATATGGAATTAAGTTTTTTCTGTCTTTTTGAGATAGGGTCTCTCTGTAGCCCCAGCTGGCCTGTAACTCACTGTGTAGACCAGGCTGGCCCGGGCCTCACCAAGATCTGCCTGTCACTGCCTCCCAAGTGCTGGGACTACAGGCGTGCGCCACCACACCCAGCCTAGCGTTTTCTTTTTCAAAAATATTTTATTATTTTTATTTATGTGTGTGAGTGTATTGCCTGCATATATATAAGCACACCTGTGTCATACAATGCTCTCGGAGGTCAAAAGAGGGAGTTGGATCCCCTGGAACTGGAGTTATGGATGGCTGTTAGCTGCCATGTAGGTGCTGGGAATCAAACCCAAGTCCTCTCGAAGAGCAGCCAGTGCTCTTAACTGCTGAACCATTTCTCCAGCCCCAGTCTTTTCTTCTTAAAAACGAACAAAAGATATGTGTTAAATATATGTTAAAAAAATAGACTGGGGGGCTGGAGAGATGGCTCAGAGGTTAAGAGCACTGGCTGCTCTTGCAGAGGACCCGGGTTCGATTCCCAGCACCCACATGGCAGCTATGAACCTTCCTTAACTCCAGTTCAAGGGGAGTCCGAAGCCCTCTTCTGACTTCCATGGTATTGCACGACACAGGTGCACTCACATACACTCATACACATAAAATAAAAAAATAAAAAAAAGACTGGGGTTGGGGAGATGGCTCAGTGGTTAAGAGCACTGGCCGCACTTGCAGAGGATCTGGGTTTGGTTTCCAGCACCCACATGGCTAAAACAACAGTCTGTAACTCCAGTTCCAGAGGATCCAACGCCCTCTTCTGGCCGGCCACTCAGGGATTGCTTGCGTGGATGAACTTCCATATATGCAGGCATAACATTCATATATATAAAATGAATAAGTAAATAAATACATAGACATTAAAAAAACTAGACAAAAATATAAATAATGTAGGTAAGCAGGCCTCTGTTAATAACAACCAAAAACAGCAGAAGTTTCAAGATATGTGCTTATAAGCACAACACTATGAAAACAGTAATGGGATGTACGGGGACTGAATATGTGCTTGGAGTGAGCGGCACCATGACTGACTGACTGAGAGCATGGAAAGGGGAGGTTGGAGGCAAGACATGGTGGGTTTCTGTTTCAGAAAGATGTGAAATCAAGTGGCTATGCCTGAGAACTACTTGGGTAATGCAGAGCTTCTCAGGCTGAGGCCAAATCAGCGAGGCTAAGGCATTATGCAGGCTGCACAGTTGCACTGCTTCATCTAACTCTCCTTCCTTGCCACAGCCTGGATGGAAGCACACTCTCCTGGTGCCCTGTGGAAACCCAGGTGGGATGCAAGTGAACTAGGCCCTTCAAGTGGGCTCAGAAAAGGGCATCAACACAATGAATAATACATACCCAACATCACTGTTTTTTACAAATTTTTTTTTGTATTCAAGACCTTTCCACGTATCTCAGGCTGGCCCTGAATGTTTGGCAGTTCTCCTGTCTCAGTCTCCCAAGTACTGGGAATACAGGTGTGCACCACCATGGCCAGATCAGCCTTTACTAGCTATCTCCCAGGAATAATAAACATTTCAACAAAGTGTTCTTGGACTGGTTAATAAAATATAGCTCTCATTAGAAAACAGACTGGTGCCAAGACAAAAAGAGCCACACTTTAACAAAAGGGTATCCACATATAAAACTTCTAACCACATCCCCACACCTACCTCTGTGAAGTGTTTGTTCCAATCCCATATGGAACAGCGCTTCCACTGAGATACACTGGACTGCAACTAGACACGTTCAGCAGATGGAGGAAAATGAAGTTATGACAAAAAAGAAATACAAGAATTTAATTTTTTCTCATTTACTTGCATTCAAGCTGTATGTTTTCCCTAGTAAGTCAACTATTCCAAGAAGATATTTATTACAGGATTGCTGCTCTCTAGGATGTAACCTGCACATCCAGGAACACTCAAAGAGTTAAAATGATCCACAGAGAAATGTGTGTGCCAAATAGTGCAAGGAATAAAGCAAATGCTAATGAATATAACAGAGCATTAATTCTGAGAAACTGTTCACACTTTTTTTTAATGTGGCAGAAAATTATTTACAATAGCAATAATCTTCCATTTAATTTCCTTTACACTAAGGGTTGGTAGACCATAGGAACACTGAAGATACTGCCAATGGTCCTTCTTCTGAGGGCCAACTAAAGCTTTGTTCTTCAATGTCACTGTTGTTTAAGTGGTAATAGAATCTACTAGACTTTCCTTAAGGTGTTTGCCTACTAGACTGTATAATTAATTCACCAAAGCGATCTCAACTTACCTTTTGCTGAGGCCTTGAATGGAAGCTCCGACAGATGTGTGACCCGCAGATTTAGATTTTAATTTTTGCTAAAAAAACAAAACAAAACAAAACAACAATAAAGGCTAAGAGTAGCTTTCTAACTGATATATAAAAATGAAAATTCTCTGCTTTATAAGAATATTTTTTTAAACCACTAAATGAAAAAATTGCTAGTATTATTTCTAGATAACTGAAATGAAAACGGTCATCAAAACCTTCTGAAGGCAGCAGAGAAGGGTTCGGAACTCTCAGAGGAATGTGCACATTACTATGTTTTCAGCCTAGGAAATTGATCCACTGCTGTTATTAGCATGCTAAGGTTTAGAGTGACTTTATAAGTCTTCAGTTAATGCCAGAGTTCAGTGATTTAATATGATGTGCCCACTATTTAAAACTTCATTTTGAAAAAATTCAACTGAGGAAAAAAAAAAACCAAAATGTCAGGTTCATTTTAAAAGGTTGTGATTGGTAGTCATCTGAACTAAAAACAAACTTCTGTGCAACTTCAGGATTATTAATTTTGATCAAATGAATGGTATCAACCTCTATATGGACATGGAAAATATACAGCTACCTAGTCATAAGCATACAGTAGTCCCTATACGTTATATACCATCACCATCATTAGTAAGCATTTATTAAGTGTTAACTGGTATAAGGTATCAAATCACATAAACCAAGCACATACTAGGACAACTGCCAACAAGAGGAAGTGAGACGGGAAAAGGCAATTTCAACTATGCAAAGACATGCCTTCATTTCACCTAATTGGGGAGGAAGTTTAAGAGGCAAAAATATTTCATTTTACTCTTTCCCTAACTTTTAAGTTAAATGAACGAATTCTGCTGCATGTTTAAAAAACAACAATGTATATGAGTATCTTGGGAAGCATGCTTCAGGCACTGTCTAGGCTCAGAGCTGTGACTCTAAGCCAACACACTGTGACATTTGCTGTTGGTTCCTGGGCCTTCTGGTGTGGGTCCAAGTGCAGATGTAACAAATGAGCCAGCAGAGGCCGAGGTGAGCAGCAGTACTGTGAAGGCATCAGATGAACCTCCAGACAATGAGGACATAGGCCATACTCACAGACACTTGTTTTCCTCATTCAATAAATATTTTACAGACTTGATGGAAAACTAGCTATGTTAACTAAAATGGCGGGGGGAGGGGGCTGGAAACATAAAAATGCATGAAAATTTATTTCCTGATTGTGATTTAGTTTTAAATCAGTATATCTTAAAGCCAAACCAGAGAGTTACCTTCTTCTGAAATGCTTCAAACATAATGTCTTGTGTTCAGATAGTTGTTACACAGTAGTTAATAAAAAACAAATTACACAAAAACATGACATCACTTTTCTATTAATTAGCATTACTATTTAGCACTTACAATATACTCTGCTTGCACAGTATTTAATAGTGTTATTGAACTGACATTTTAATGAACTAAGAGCTTATTAATAATTTAACCTCAGATGGACTGACAATGTTAAATTTAGAAAAACTTAGGCCTTGAAATCTATAGGTTATTTGGTTTTTTTGGTCTAACAAAAACACAAGTGGTCTGTATTTGAAACTAGGGATTTTCAGTTGTATTGTTTTAATCATCCCTTTATTTTTTTAAAAAAAAAACCAAGAAACAAACCATTTTCTTTGTGATTTTTGTAAATTAGGTATCTAGTTTCTTTTAAATTTAAGAAAGAAGTTTCACACAAAACATACTGATGAACACTAAAATATATAAACTCTCATACACTGCTGGGTCAGAAAAATATGATACAGTCATTTTGGAAAAAAAATGGCAGTGGGCAGAGAAGGTACTGAGTATGAATGACTAGGAATTCCAAATTGAGGTTTACACAGCCTAAAGAGACTCTCACACACGGGTAAAAGACATGTAAAGATGTCTGATGGAGCATCATCTGTTAGAGTAAACAACTAGGCATAGTTTAATCGGAATGTGCACTGCCAGTGAAGTGAATAAACTGTGGCCGAGTTGCACACACTGGATTATTGTACAGTTTGAATTGTTTCTGGTTGTATACACTATAAAAATACCAATGTATGCATGGAGAAGACAGTGGTTATCTCTGGGAAGGAAGGCAGTACAGCATGATTTGCAGAGGTCTTCAACTGTATCTCTAATTTTTATTTCTTAAAAAACAAAGTTCACCTGGGCATGATGGCATATACCTATAATTCTACCATTCAGGAAGCTGAGGCAAGAGGATCACAAATTAAAATTTAAGGCTATAGAGAGTTTGAGCCAAAGCTATACAATGAGATCTTGCCCCCAAAACAGAGAAGAAAAAAAGAAAGGCAAGCTGGGCGTGGTGGCGTTTTTTTTTTTTTTTAATTTTTAATAACTACGTGATTAGAAGAAGCATTTCATTACAGCTTTAACATATTCAGTAACACACTCCAAAGAAAGAGTACAACTCTTTCACAAGTGGCTGTAAGTTTCTAGGTTCACAGTTGAATTAATACAGTTACACAATACTGAACTTGGTATAAGCCCTGTAAGACATAAAATTGAATGAGTTTTTATCCTTTAAAAAAGATCTCCATTTCGTTTTAGAATATATAGTTCCTTGCAGAAAAACTCGTTGTTTTTGCTACTAACACTGAGATGTTGGTGCATCCATCTCTAATCTGTGTGTATCTGATTATTACTAGTCATAATCGGTTGCACTTGGTTCCTTGGCACCTGGATCTATAAAGTCTGTTACGTATGTCTATAAAGTCATCGGGTAGATTTCAATGGTAATGTTTATCACCTCTACTAATTAACGTGATGTAAATTTACATGCTTCGTGGCATATTTTTAATCTCAGTACTTGGAAAGCAGAGAAAGGATCCCTGTGAACTCAAGGCCAGCTAGGTCTACATAGTGAGTTCCAGGCCAGCTGGGGCTACAGGGAGACCCTGTCTAAAAAAAGGGGAGGGTACTTGCAGAAGCCAGAAAAGAAAAGGGGCACTGAAGTAGGGGGTGTCTTGAGGAGGGACGGCAGAACATAGCTGATATGAACACAGAAAAAAGGAATATTGGAGGTGCAAAGTCTAAGCAGGGTTGGAAGGGAGGGGAGGGGAAGATGTGAGGGGAGGAATGGAAGGCCAACCAAAAGGAAGGGCGTATGAAAAAGTCAAAGGGAAACCCACCACTTTCTAAGTTAATTAAAGAATATAAATTAAGGGCTGGAGAGATGGCTCAGTTGTTAGGAGTACGTACTGCTCTTCCAGAATACCTGAGTTCAGTTTCTAGTAACTATGTCCAGCGGCTCACAATTCCCTGTTAACTCCAGCTCCTGGGGGATCTGGCTTCTCCAGCTTCCACAGTACCTGCACTCATGTGCACATACTCACACATAGACATAAACACATAATTAAAAATAAAAACTTAAGGGGCTGGAGAGTTAACTGTCCGTTAACTCCAGTTCCAGGAGATCCAACAGTCTCTTCTGTTCTCCAAGGGCAATGCAGGACATGGGTGCACTTACCTACATTCAGGCAATACACGCATACACATGAAATAAAAATAAAAAATAAATAAATAAAAACTTAAAAGCTAATTAAAAAAAAGTCCAGAGAACAAAGTATGGCAAAGTATTAAGATATGTTTAGGATGGGTGGCTATTATGTGTTCACAATATTTGGATGGCTGTTGGTTTCTTTTGAATTTTGTAATAAAGTTAGGATATATTGCTGGGCATGGTGGCACACGCCTGTAGTCCCAGCACTTGGAAGGCAGAGTTAGGCGGATCTCTGTGAGTTCAGGGCGAGCCTGGTCTACATAGTGAGTTACAGGCCAGCTGAGGCTACAGAGAGACCCTGTCTCAAAAGACCCCCTCCCCGAAAAAAAAGTTAAAATATTACAAGTTAGTCAAATCCATTAGTTTGTAGAATAAGGGCAATGTTAGAGCATTCTAGATGCTAAAAACATTCCTATACTGAAAGTTGATTGTTTTGGGCCTTTTAGAAAGGTGTTCTTAGAGACTGCAAAAAATGTCAGCGACCAGCTTGATCTGTGAGTGGACCTGACACCAACAGCTTCTCTAGTTTCTGACTCTTGTTCAGAAAATAGTTTCTAGTATTTTATTTCCTCTAAAACTCTTTAAGTGAAATAATTTCTTTATTTGTACTTTTCAGAATTCAAAGGATAGCTACTGTGCCTTCTTTAAGTTCTAAGGCTATTCTAAATATACTGAAATAAGAATTATACTTATAACATTTGACTTACAAAGGATTTTTTGTCAAAGTCAGGCTCTTCAAATATTTCATTGATAAGACTGTCAAGATCTTCTTCTTTTTTACATGTTTCTGTTGATCTGAAAAGGAAAAAAAGAAAAAAACAAAAAACCAAAAACCACAAAAATCCCCCACTTGAGGCTTAAGAACAGATAGCATTGTATTTGTTAAGAGTTGATAACATAAGGATACAGGTGATGCTAACTATTTTTCAGTTATGGAAATAGGCTAAGTTTGTTGAGACAAAGATATATAGTTTATTGGTATAAATTCACATATGTACCTTATTATGTATTTAAGACGATTAAGCCTATACATTATATTCAAGATAAAATTAGGAATGTTCTTTTCTAAATTATATCAAGCACTTACATAGAAAACACAAAACAAATAGGTTATAAATAAAACTTAAATCATAAATAAAGGGTTCCATTGTAGGTCAAACAACCTCATCTCTTTCTGAAGGAGGCAAAGACATGCCATCAAATGACCAAAAAGACAAGATAAAAACCCTCCCCAAAGCAAAACAAAAACAAAAACCCACTGCCATGTATTAGAATACCTCAACTTCTCTACGCTCTGCAGCTGAAGCCATCAGCAGATTCCTCATAGAAACTGCTGCACAGAACTTCTATTTCAAAGTGAATGCTGGGCTGTCACACACTTGTAGAGTGCTTGCTTAGCATGGGTGAGGTCCTGGGTTCAATGCCCAGCACTGTGCTTCCCCCACCCCCACAAACAATAGTGAACATTTAGTGACTATCTACTAAATCCAGGTTGGCACTGTCCTAAGGCTTTACATGACGTTATTTTTTATTCCAATTTCTAGCTTAAAAAAAAAAAAAAAGGCACTGAGAGATTCAGAAGCTTGTACAAAGCAATGCAGGTGAAGGGTAGAAAGGCTTGGAATGGAATTTAGGTAATTCATACACCCACACTACAGTGTTTACTATGTGACACCACATAATGGCTATGCTTCAATAAAAACACCTGATTCTTAGCATCCACTTTTAAGCCAAGAGAGAACTGTTCCTTCAGAATTCTCTGGGAACTGTGTTCTCAAACAAAAGGCTCACTTACTGTTTTATTTAAATAGTGTATCCAGCATGAAATGGGGAAGTAAAAGTAGGACTCCTAAGAGAATTTTGCTTTTCTGATACCTAGACCAACACACATACACACAACCATAAACAAATATCAATTCCTTTCATTGTTTTCAATAAGGTAAGTGGTCTGCAGAATTTGATACATAAACAAATACACATATATTCATATATTATTTTAGTCCAGAGCAAGGAAGGGTCATGAAGGATTAAGGTCATATTTCCAGCTCACAAGAGGAGTACAAGGCTCAGTGAACTTGTATGCATTATAAACAAGCTCAGATTAACTTTTTGGTTTGAAGGTTAGATAAGACTTATTTGCCCAGAGTTTGTCTATATTGTAAAAGTCATTCCCAAACCATATGCTATGAGGTATCCCTCTTTCTTACAAGGTTTAGATGCTGTATATTAACTTTGTAAGTTCACTGAACCATTATGATTTGTTTTAGAAGATCTTTTTTGGTCAAATTCTCTAGAAATGTGTTTACTTTGAAATCTTACTGAACACGATCATATCCCTTCTTTTGTTAAGACAATTTAATGTGATATAAGAAAATCCTGAGCTAGCTGCCTCAAACCACATGGCTGATTCCAACTACCTCCAGGCTTTGCCCCTTTTTTTTCTCTTTCACTTTTCTCCTTAGTGTCCTTTACTCTATGCTGGCATTTTCCCTCACCTTAGAATTATGGTCAAGCCCTTCTTCTAAACAAATAAACCAAAAACTCAAGCACTCTACAAAAATGGTCCCTTGAAACTGCCACTCTTTTTTACAACTGGAGTTGTTTATGTCCATTATTTCTACTTCCTTGGAAGTAAATCTGATTATTAGTTAGTAACCTAGATGAAGATTCCTCAATCTTAGAACTACTGATATTTTGGGACAACTGTGTGTGTGTGTGTGTGTGTGTGTGTGTGTGTGTGTGTGTGTGTGTGTGTGTGTGTGTGTGTGTGTGTTGGGTTGGGCGGGGTGCTACTGAACTCTGTAGTCTGTTTTACAGAATTCCTGGTCTCTACCCACTCGATGCCAGTAGTACACTTTTTTCCAGTTGTGATAACCCAAAATGTCTGGCCATTGCCAAATGCCCCTTGAATGACAAAATCATCACTGGTCCAGAGATACTGACCTAGTTTGTTATTTAATTTCTATGAAACTCAGATACTTTATAAAAATATTATCTTTAAAAGTGCTTTCAGGTGTAATATTCCTTTCATCTCTCAACTACAGTGAAACTCTTCTCAAATTGATACACTCAGCGGTCTCTCAGTTCTAATCCTCTTTAATCTTTCAGAAACGTGTCACAGCTGCTTATGAAATCTTGAACTTTCTTTTATGAAAGATGACAAAGATGTCCTCCTGAAATTTCTCCTATGGTTTTGATGATGTACTGTCAAGGCTCTTTTTTCTCATTTGACAATCTCAAGAAGCAGATGGATTTTTAAGATTATTATTATTTAGTTTTGAGAACAGGGCTTGCTAAGCTACCCAGGCAGGCCTTGAACTTGTGATTTCCCTGCCTCAGCTGACAAAGTAGCTGGGATTACAGGCCTGTGCCACCAGGCCCACCTTGATTTGGTGACTGAATATGATGATTAAGGACAGATAACATTCACTTTGTGGTGTGATGGTGGTTAAATAGCACATGTAAGGAACTTAGCACACAAAAAGGACTCAATAAATGTTAGCTATTATTGTTATAGCTGTTATCTCTAAGTATTCTCACCTGTATCATTCTGAAATACTTTATTACTATGGCAGTTTTTTCATTCAACCCATGTTGGTCTTTAAAAATTCCAACTATTTACATATTTTCTTTATCATTCTGAACACTTCAACAAATTGCATTTACCACTTATATTAACAGCTGTTTCTGGTATCCAGATGTAGTATGGCCATTTAGTGTATTACTTGCAAAGCTATCATTTTAAGAGGCAATTTCAGTATTTTAATTCACAAAAGTTATATTGCCATACAATTGGCAAGTAATGTGTTAATAAATTCATAACACAAATTGCTTCCTAGTTTTTAAATGTCAATTTTGCCTCTGTGCAAATTTTAATGTACTGACATCATATACCAGAAAGGAACTATAGTTGAGATTTGGTTTAGTGTATTTGTTGCTGCTTTTTGCAGACTTTCCAAATATCCTGCCTGATAAGTTCTAACATAAATGATAACAGTATTGATTCACTAGAGGCTTTATAAATGTATTAAGACAGGATGGGGTACTAGAAACATTTGGATGGGTTCTAAAAGTATAGAAACAGGCTTGAAAGAACCCATGCTTGGAGAGGATCCACATAAATAATAGTCCTTTCAATCTTGAACTGCCTGCAATTCCTCCACATGCTAGTTCTAAGATGTAAACGCTCTGGGGTCTGGTAAATTCTCTTCTATCCTTACAGGTACTACTAAAAAGAACAAAAATTGCCAAGTGACAGTGCTGTAGGACAGGGGCAGGAGATGCATGCAGATGTGCTGGCCACAGGTACATAAGGAATAAACTATATTCGATATATGCATACAAGATACTAATACACAGAATAATGATTTATATTTTCACAAACATTCAGTCAAATGGAGAAAGGCCCATTGAAAACAATCATTTTAGTTTATTTTTTAAAATGCTTGGTGCCTAACTAATTTTTGGAACGTCTGTTTTGAACTCGTCTGAAATCTTTTCAGTGCTTTTATCTTCCTGAGAGTGAATTTTTAGAAACAAATGTCATTGTAGGTTAAGACTGGAGAGCTGGATAGCAATGGAGTTGCATAGTACTTATGGGAAATCACAACAGGCCCCAACCAGAGATACAAAGCCACCACTGTAATTTCACCAGCCTTTTCCAAGTGATCTAGGCAGGGGCAACTTCCAAAAGATTCTAGCAAGAGTTACTGCTGGAAGTTCTAAGTCATCACTTTAAAGGGTAAATACACTGATGCATACTTTTTCTGTTTTTGGATTTTTTGGGGGAGGGGAGAATAAGTGATTTGAGAGAGTCCTATTAGTATTTAATTATTAAAAGGAGGTAAAAAGATGGGCAAATTTGAACGGTAAGGTTTTCTGTTTGTTTCTTTTTGTTTTCTGTCAACCCCCGCAAAGAGTTGTGTCATAAAATTTCCATCTGACATCTGCTGAGTCCCTTAGGTTGG